GATGTTTCGATAATTTAAAAACGGTTCTGGAATTGGAATATCTAAAGAGATGAAGAGATTTTTTCAGAAATGGTAGAAGTGGTGTTCAATGAAGACCTCTTGTATTGGAGAGAACTGTACTAAATTATGATGGAAATGATGTTTCGATAATTTAAAAAGGGTTCTGGAATTAATAGCTATAAAAAGGTGCATATATATGTTAAGATAAGGTAGAAGTGGTGTTTAATGTAGTTCAACCATCGTATTTGAGATTACTGTACTATATTATAATGGAAAATTATGTTTGATAATTTAAAAGAAAAATCTGGAATTCTAGGATAAATAAAGTGAAAAGAGATTTGCTCAGAACAGGTGGAAATGGTGTTCAATGAAGGTCAACCTCCGTATTGGAGATAACTGTACTATGTCATGATAGAAAATGCTAGTTCGATAATTTGAAAGAACGTTCTGCAATTAGAAGCTACAACGAGGTCAAGAGAATTGCTCAGAATAAGTTGAATTGGTGTTCAATAAAACCCGACCTTTCTATTGGAGATGACTGTACTAAATAATGATAATGATAAAATATAGATACACTTACTCCTATTAGTTGAAAATGTTCATCATTACTTAAAGATACTACCCACGACTCTTCAAGATTATCAATTTCAATATTGTCAAGCGGCTCAGCGGTTCCAACCACGAGAGGTTCGCGGGATCTGGTCGGCGGGGGGAGCTGACGTCCCTCAGTAGGAGTATCTTCAACTTGGGGAAAGTTGGACTTTCTCTCTCTCCCTATAAATACCCCTTATAATAAATTAATTATCCTCAAACTTGCCCTTGCTTTATTTATCGCCGCGACAATATGTTCTTCTTTCTTTGTGTGAGCGTAATAGATAAGAATCAAAATGATATAAATTCGCAGAGTTGAAGACAGAGTGGAATGACCAGTAAAAACATGAGCATTTATCTTTCTTAGGTAAGATAATCGTTAGGAGCAGTAAATTATTAAAAATATTAATGAGGCGAATAATTTCTCGTAAGTTCTTTTTTTATTCAGCGAAGAGATAGAAAGAAAGCTTTTGAGCATTCGAAAAGGGCAGAAATGCACGAAAGCTTGGTTATATAAAAAATTACAAGAAACTATTTGCCTCACGATTTTGTATTTTTGATAATTATAATATTTATAATATATTATTGAGAGAGAACATATCATAATTAACATTGAAGTATATAATAGTTATTTGAAATGAGTAAAAGCAAGGACTCGAAAAAGTGCTAAAATACAAACTGTTAATGATTTACAATAATCACAACTTTGCAGAATGTTAGCGGAATATTTAACCTACATTGTTTGTATATTTCATAAAAGAAGTCCTATCTCGAGTCAATGACACCAATTTGCATAAACTCCTAGAACTCCAAATTGGCATAATGAATTTCATAAGCTATTCTATATCTGGTTTATAATCTTGTAGTGTCTTCGCATTGATTCTTTTAGTTTTTAAAAAAGACGCTATATATTTCATAGGTAATTATTTTCTACAAAATGCATTCATTAAAAACACTAATGTACAAAACATAAGGAAGTTGTGCCTTTTCGCATATATATCGGGATTCAGACTCTGAAAGATATTACAGTGACTTTTATTGAAGACACACGAGATAACCAAGTGTAAACAAATTTATCTCTGTCTTCATAAAAAAAAAAACAGACGACCGAGATATCAACTTGCTCCGTGATATTTGGCCAACCCAATTTTCTTTTGATAAATCAAGAAAAGCCAACCACGAACGCGTTTCGGGCTGTTGGCCCTCGTCAGCGTGGTACAGACCGCAATATATTTGATAGGTAATTATTTTCTCCAAAAGGCATTCATTTAAAAGCACTCATGTAAAAAACATAAGGAAGTTGTACCTTTTCGCATTTTTATCGAGATTCAGACAATAACTCTGAAAGATATTGCAGTGACCTTTATATTTTTATTGTTTATTTTTTTCACATGTATTCTATATACAGTTACGAGTGTCATTCTTCATCAGTCAACTCTGTCACCGTTTGCTTTTTTTTTTTTGGAATGGCGCCCTCCTATTGGTTGGCTTCGATCACGCCACCTTTGCGGGTAAAACACGGGCGTTGCCCGGGTCATTCGGCTAGTATATATTACGATAACATTGAATGTTTTGATTCAAATACTATTTGTTACAATTATAAATTGGCGCCTTATATAAATTCATATGTTAGTTAATAACTATAGCCTATGTGCTTTATCTGTCTATGTACTGTTGGCTTCCGTAGGCGTCTCTTACTGGGAAAAAGAAAGAGAGGATTACATTTGGTTATTAACTAATATATGCATTTAATTAAGGAGCGACCCGCTCCAACACAATGGTTACAAAAACGAAAAAGCGAGTGGGGGAGGGGGGCATGATGAGGGGGGGGCAAAGGTGGCGTGATCGTAGCCGACCAATAGGAGGGCGCCATTCCAAAAAAAAAAGCAAACGGTGACAGAGATGACTGATGAAGAATGACGCTCGTAACTGTATATAGAATACATCAATCAAATCGAGACGTCTATCAGATATATCAATGAAGTGCCCGTATTTGGTCATATATGCGCTGAATATAAATAATATACGAATACACAATGATATTTATTCCAACTGTTTGTCATCAAACTTCTGCATGTCCAGTTCTGATAGAGCGGTGATGTAATGGAATCCATTCCAACAAAGGGATGTTAGTGAGAGAGAGAGTAGCTTAACTAACTTAATATATTAATTAATAATGGATTCCATTACCTCACCGCTATATCTACCCAACAGGGAGTTAGTTACTCTCTATTAGTTTAAATTAATAATACACATACATAATCCTTACCATTTTCTATCCTTCTAGGAAAAGTCGAATTTGATTAATCCATTTCAAAACTACACTCATAAATAAAACTTTAGGTGTATAAAAAAGGGCGTATCTAGAGATCTGTAAAGAAAAACAAAATAATTTTCTCAAAATATATTTTGTGATTGTTCTCTTTTTATAAACTTACTAGCGGATGTGTACCCGGCTTCGCCCGGGTTTTATCCGAGTGAAAGTTTGCCTAACGAATATTATTGATAATAATATTCGGGAAGACACAGAATATTATGATAATAATGATAATTATATTCGTTACGTCATATATTTATATAATATATTAAATTTATTTTTCGAGCAAACATATCCACTTTCTACTGAATAGATTTTTAAAAAGATATACATAAATAAAAATATCTAGAGATATACTACATGATCTTAGCCAAAAGGCCGAGAAACGATATTTTATATATAGAGATGACCTGGCTTCGTGTGTCTTCTGCTCGAGTGAATGTTTCGCTGGTAGAATTTTGTTCCTGCCTACTATTAATCATTATATGGCTTCACCCGTGGTCTGCTTTAGTGAATATTCCCCAAAAGATTTTTTTAATGCAATCAAGCATGATGCGGCAATATTGTCATCATCATTTCTGACTAAAAAAATATTGTTGCTCAGTACTTGGTTAAATATAATTTTTCTTGGTTGAAGTGCGACAAAAAAACTCTTCCAGATTTAAACAAAAATCGAAATCTATTTTAAAGAGAAATAACGATTATTTCTAACTTTAAGGATGAAGTATGATAGGATGAATTGTGAAGAGTAATGACAAACGGAACAATAAAAGTGTCCAGGGGCGGGAATCGAACCCACAACCTTCTGCTTACCGGGCAGGTGCCATGTCCACTAGGCACCCTGTTAGAAATAATCGTTATTTCTCTTTGAAATAGATTTCGATTTTTATTTAAAAGAAACATTCGCGGTATAATTGCAATTTTAGTTTTACAATCATCAGCCGCGTTATATTGTATTTTAACGAAATTATGGAAATAGAGTGTATTTTCACATCTACATATATACAATGAATTTTTGAAGTAATAAATAGGAAACCTCCTGATGAAAATATTGCTGTACACATCAAATATATTTAAACAATAATATTTTCTTTGTAGAGTTCTGAATAGGTGTCTTCTAAACGGCATTTGAATCTTCTTAGAAAAAAAATATATTTTGGTTCAATTATTTAAATGAATAAACGCTTATTTTGGATCAAATGTTTATTATAATTTGCAATATTTCGATGAGGCATCACACGTGGATAATTTGTTTACAAAATTTACATTTCCCAATGAAGATAGGCGAACTGCCTCATAGAAATATTGAAAATTATTCAAATAATCCAAAAAAATCGATTATTCATTAGAAGTTATCAAAATGGATTGCTCGATTTTCAACATTAAAATATATGTCATAGTTTGTATAAGATCCAAGATGTATAATTTCTTTTCCCCAAAATAAGTATGTAAATATGTAAAGCTTCTGTTAAAATGTAAATATGCAAATTCATCCATCTATAAAAACTGTACAAAAATAAACGGGGCAGACATCGCGGGCGAATGCTACGGCACGTCGCGCTGCTCACTTTGCTGGAACTAATTCTTGGGGATTGTGTGTATAACTGTTGCACCCTTTCATTCGATCACGACATATATATATATATGTCCGAAAATAAATGTAGAATAAATTATCATTTTGAGATGTGAACATATACACACGGAACGCTTATTTACATTTTAATGACATATCTCTCAGGAGAAATGTGGAATTACATTACCTTCATCCATTTCTCACAATTTCATTTATTATATAATTGAAATATTCCTATGAATTATTTAATATAGATAAATATATTAAAACCATATCTATAGAATTGTATTACATTCACTACTCTGATATTACCTTCAGATATTTCAGAATTAAGTTGAGAATCAATGAATGTATATTTATGTATCCCTGATTCCATAATACCTTCTTCTAAAAATTGAGAACTTGTATCAATTTTCAATTACAATTATTATTCATATATATGAAAATTGAGATTTACTGTTATAAAATATCAAATATCTTGCGCAATATGTTTCTTCATTTAACTATTTATTATTTATAAATGACTGCGGCGTATAATTATAAAGCTATACAACCAGTTTAACCGCATAAGTTTATTTTTATTTTATGAAAAATCATTTTTAATTTCAAAGAGAAATAATTTAATATTTCTAACTTTTGGATGACGTATGAAAAGGTTGAATATATGAAGAGTGATGGTCTATATATGAATGGATGACGTCATCCAAAAGTTAGAAATATTAAATTATTTCTCTTTGAAATTAAAAATGATTTTTCATAAAATAAAAAGAAACTTATGCGGTTAAACTGGTTGTATAGCTTTATATTTATTATTTATTTATTTCAACACACAAAACTCGATATCCCGGCTAGAGATAATTAGCCGATTTACATTTTTGAACAGAAACAGTTATAAACATATTATACAAGAAAAGGTAATCAAAAATAAAAAAGAAAAACAATAATATATATTAGGAACCTGAACCTTTCATGTTAGAAAGATAATCATAATAACTATTTATTATAATAATGGAACTTATTTTGCGCAAGATTTTTAATATTTTATAACCAATATTGGTGCCTTTGAATGAAGAAAAGGTTTATTCATATGACTTTACAAGCATCCTATGTTTTATCTTTATAATATCCTTTAAAAACATGGATTATTCTATTAGTCTCAGTTTCAATTTCACCTCATTCTATTTGGTAGTCTGTTTTCTATGAAACTCTATTCCTTATGAAAAAATAATACAAATGTTATATTGTACCACGCTGATGAGGGCCAACAGCCCGAAACGCGTCCGTGGTTAGCTTTTCTTGATTAATCAAGAATAGGTATTTGGCCAATTCTGGAATAATTAGAAATCAACGAGAATAGTTGATATTTATTCGGATAGCAACAATCAGCAACTTTCAGTTGCACGATAAGGAGATGCCTTTTTCTTAATCTATTCCTTATATTTCTTGAAAATAAAGATACTTCGGCCAGTATCTTTATTTTCAAGAAATATGATGGCGGCCAGGCAACCTCTACCTATTCCTTATAAATATACACATTTGTATTCAATATGTAAATAGTATTTTCTAGATATTGCCACGTGAAAAATGGGAAAGATAAATTTCGGGGATAACACAGCAATCTATTTAAGGCAAGAACAAACTATATGAATGATAAACAAAATATAAGCAATGAGGGAAGATTACAGAGAGTAGCAACATATAAATAAATATATTATACTGTTAATTAACGTAAAGATAAAGGCTGCATGGGCGGAATTCATAGTTCTTCAAATAAAAGTTATTTCGGCCAGTAAATATTTTTATTATCTCTACGTTTCGACAAAATTATTTTGACCTCGTCAGGAGCGAATAAAAATTGTTTGCTCCTGACGAGGACAAAAGACTTTTGTTGAAACGTCGAGACAATAAAAAGATTTACTAGCTGAAGTATATTATATTTAATGAAATCTGTTAATTAAATAATAAATACGTTGTTAGAATATTGTTGTACCGTCCTGGGGTGTTGGCTTCATGTCAATATTCGATTGGTACATTTCAAGATTATAAGTGAGACCAGAAGGAGTAATCATAAAACAGATTTATTTTAACAAGGTAATTATTTATAATATCTGCCAGATCTCTCAATATATAATTGAGACATATACAAACAAACTAATTACATATTAGACGCTGAAATCACATTACTGATGATGATTCACTTAGGCCAGCACAGATATTATTCAATGACAATATTAACTGTTTTGTGCTTGTTATTAAAGTTTAAAACACATTTAAACTTTATATATTTTATTCAATGAAGATCAAAATTACATAACCATCACAATTAATTATATATCATAACTACATAACATAAAACCATCAATTTTTATTTTTGTTTTCGTCACCAGTCCAAAATTTTTTCATTTTCACAGACTAAATTATGAGATTAATTTATAAATGAAAAATATGCAAAACAAATAAACAACTATATACATCATTAACTATCTAATCTTATTCTAAAAAGCTTTCTAGCGCAAATTTTCATCCTAGAAAAATCTAAATATATAGTAGAATTACAATTTACTTTTACAATTTTCCATTAAACACAATAGTCTTTGCTTATTTATTCTTAACTAAAACTAGTTGCACATTTTTTAGGCTAATCTACTTACCAACTTGTTAGACTTGCTTGATTCAAAGTTACTAGATCCGGATTGTAGGACGAAAAAGAGGTTCTACCCTTGCTATCCAGAAAATAATGTTTTGAAACTGAATTTATTTTCCATTCTAACAATGATACTAACCACGCTACCAACTCCAAGATATTCTAGGAAATGATAAAAGCTATTTAAAGAGAGTCTCGGTACAATAGATCTCCAATTTCATTCAATCAGTCTGTAATGGCATAGCGCCATCTGTTACCCATTCAATATACTAATGGGTGCTGATTATGTATCGATGGGTATCCAATTATCGTCATAAATATTTACGTCCGTAATTACTTGAATCAACGACCAGAATTTATGGTCAATTAGATAATTTATGATAATCAATTCTACTTGGCTTCTTGAATGGTGCACTAAAATATCTGGGGCTGATCTATTTTTGACTAATATTGTCACAATATAAAATTAGCTCAATGTATTGGACATTTATTGCTTAATCTTACAATTTATATAAACACTAAGTTAAATTTAATAAAAAATAAAGCCTTCTATTTATTTAGTTTTCTAATAGTATGTATGCACGATTCATAAGATACACTCATGGACAAAACATAAGGAAGTTGTACCTTTTAGTATTTATATCGGGATTCAGACAATAACTTTGAAAAATTCACTCATGGACAAAACTTGAGGAAGTTGTACTTTTAGTATGTATATCGGGTTTCAGGCAAAAACTCTGAAAGATACACTCATGGACAAAACTTGAGGAAGTTGTACCTTTCAGCATGTATATCGGGATTCAGACAATAACTCAGAAAGATACACTCATGAACAAAACTTAAGGAAGTTGTACCTTACAGAATGTATATCGGGATTCAGACAATAACTCTGGAAAATACACTCATGGACAAAACTTAAGGAAGTTGTACCTTTCAGCATGTATATTCGGATTCAGACAATAACTCTGAAAGATACACTCATGGACAAACCTTAAGGAAGTTGTACCTTTTACCATGTATATCGGGATTGAGACAATAACTCTGAAAGATATCCTCATGGACAAAATTTAAGGAAGTTGTACCTTTCAGCATGTTAATCGGGATTCAGACAATAACTCTGAAAGATATTAGATACACAGTAACCTTTATTGAAGACACACCTGAGAATTTACACACTTCTTTAAATATAATAGAGCTGAGTTATAGTTTCTACTATCTTGATAATTATTGCTATCGCAGTATATGTGATAATCAAAGTTAGATAAATTCAGCGCAAAAACATCTGAACAGATTTCTTGAAGAATATGAAGATTGGGATAGAAGAAATTCAACTTACGTGTTGGTTTCTATCAATTCAACCAATCAGTTGAGGCAGTTCATATTGTAGGAATATTACACAGAGTAACAATGGCTATAGATGAGCTCGTGTTTGAAAAGTAACTTGTATATACATTATAATTATTGTTTTAGTTGTTTTCATGTAGACATATATACCAAGATTTGTTTTGTATAATTGCTATTAATAATAAATAATATATAAATTAAATTGGTTACGTCCTTCTTACTTACTTTAGTTACATAACACATATCACGTGATATTTTTTAAATTTCTGGCTGGTTGGCAGATGG